GGGAGGCAGAAAACAAAAGGGAAAATATTAAATACCACAAGGGTTTGATAAAAGAGAGTGAGGAGAGAAAACATGGTTAGTAGAGTTTCTCCTGAGCCTTGATGGCATAAAGAAACCAGCTACATAAAGATCTGGGGCAGGAATATTCCAGGTAGAGAAATCAGAAAGTACAAAGGTGGGCTGGGCGCAGTGGCTCACGCCTGTAATCCTAACACTCTGGGAGGCTGAGGCAGGTGGATTGCCTGAACTGAGTTTGAGACCAGCCTGAGCAAGAGTGAGATCCCATCTCTAAAAATAGCCAGGAGTTGTGCTGGGCACCTGTCATCCCAGCTACTTGGGAGGCTGAGGCAAGAGGCTTGCTTGAGCCCAAGAGTTTGAGGTTGCTGTGAGCTAAGATACTATGACACTCAACCCCAGGGCAACTAAGTGAGACTCTGAGAAATAAAGGAAAGAAAGAGAGGAAGAGAGGAAGGAAAGAAAGGGAAAGAAGGGAAGGGGAGGAAGGAAGAAAAGAGATAGAGATAGAGACAGAGGTAGAGAAAGAAAGAAGGAAGGAAGGAAAGGAAGAATGAAAGAAAGGAAAGAATGAAAGAAAGGGAAGAAAGAAAGAAAGGAAAGAAAGAAAGGAAGAAAGGAAGGAAATAAAAGAAAGAAGGAAGGAAGGAAGAAAGAAAGAAAGAGAGAAAAGAGCAAAGGCCCTGAGGCAGGAATGAGCTTGGCCTGTCTGAGAATTATTATGGCAGGAAGGCAAAGCATGTGGGGGACTGAGGGCAGGGCAAGAATTTAGGTTTTATTATATTATAAAAATGATGAGAAGTCAGTTTAGGCAAGATGGAGAGTGGTGGCAAGATGATCTGGATTATATTTTAAATAGATCCAAAGTGACTGCTAAGTGGAGTCTGAATTAGAATGGGGTGAGGGTTATAAGCAAGGAGTGACGAAAAAATGATAGTACCTTAGACTAGTGTGACAGCATGAGGGGTGGAGAAAAACAAGCGGACATTGAATATATATGTATATTTTGGAGGTAAAAGAATTTTGAAGAATTGGTTGCAGAAAGTGATACAGTGGAATTACGGAGGTCCTTTAGTTTTTTGGCTTGAGCAAATAGATGACATACTTACAGAGATAAAAATAGTAAGATGAACTTTCATTGATTGAACACTTAGTACAAGTTAGCCATCGTTTTCAACCCTGTCGGGGAGTCCCCAGTATAATATCATCCTCCCCATGTTAGGTACTATTCTCGAACCTCAAATAGCCATCGTGGAACGCAAGGGAAGTACTAATATTATGATACCCATTTTACAGATTTAGAAACTGTGGCATAGAGGGATTACATAAATTTACCAAGATACACAGTAACAAGAAGCTAGGGTACAAACCCATGTAGTCTGACTCTAGAGCCTGTGTGCCTAACCATTACACCATCCTCCCTCCTAGGCAGGTAAATTGGCACTCCCAGGGCGAGAACAGAGATCCTACTTATGTTCTAGATAGCCCTTGCCTGGTACAGAGTAAACCTTCAATAAATTTATTGAATGAATGAATGATATGAACACACTTTATAAATTCAGAAATGCTATGCAGAAATATTCTTATTGGTTTCATTTTTTGTTTTGTTTTTGAGACAAAGTCTCACTCTGTTGCCCTTGGTAGAGTACATGGTGTCATAGCTCACAGCAACTTCAGACTCTGGGGCTCAAGTGATCATCTTGCCTCGGCCTCCCAAGCAACTGGGATCATTGGTGCCCACCACAATGCCTGGCTAGTTTTTCTATTTTTGGTAGAGATGGGGTCTCACTTTTGCTCAGGCTGGTTTCCTTCTCCTGAGCTCAAGCAATCCGCCTACCTCAGCCTTCCAGGGTGATAGGATTATAGGCATGAGCCACCACGTCCAGCAGATATTCTTCTTGTTAATAAACCCTTCAAATAACAGAGTTCCACTCAGCTCAAATTTTTTCTAAAGCTTAACATAATTTTCTGGGAAAAGGTAAAGAACTGACAGAGGACACTTATTGGAGGCAAATAGCAGCTTGACAACCTGGCCTGGGAGAGATTCAAGAAATTTAGCTAAGAAAATTCCCTCGTCTGACATCTTGTCTGGTATTGCCTCCAGGAACTCTGAGAAAGTTCCATTCTACGCAAGTAATTATTCCATCATCCCATCTTTTTTTTTTTTTTTTTTTTGAGACAGTCTCACTTTGTCATCCTCAGTAGAGTGCAAGTGCCCTGGCGTCATAGCTTACAGCAAACTCAAACACTTGGGCTTAAGAGATCCTCTTACTTGAGCCTCCCAAGTAGCTGGGACTGCAGGTGCCTGCCACACAGTGCCTGGCTACTTTTTAGAGGCGGGTTCTTACTCTTGCTAATGCTGGTCTTGAACTCCTGATCTCAAGCAATCCACCCATCTCAGTCTCCCAGAGTGCTAGGATTACAGGCAAGAGCCACCGCATCCAGCCCCCCTCATCTCATCTTCTATCTTCCTATCTTTTCCCTTTAAATTGTCAGTGAATTAACACTTGAACACTTTGAAGCATTTTCTTCCTGCAGGTGGGAAAATACTTAAAATAAAGGCCTGATATAAATGATGGTTTGATATACAAAGTCAAGACAAGAGCCTGTGTCTTCTTTAGCCCACTTATTCTCTTTGAAGTCATTTCTCTGGGTATGTCTCCTGCAGTCACAGCAGGAAGTCTATGTGGGATTCTCCCCCCATCAAATCCAGAACCATGCATGATTCTTGCCCTACTTTACACAAAAAAGAGTGGGGAAAGACCCTAGCAGACTAAGGAAGACAAAGCTGGAAGGGACCCTAATCAAATTAGTTAGCTAGATTCTGGTGCCCCTTCCCTATATCCTGGGGCTTTCTCACACTTTTGTTCTGGAGTAGATCCCTTTTCAAAGCTCTCCACTCCTTCCGATAACAAAAGGCACTTTTCCCTTCTTTTTAACTACAATGAAGATGTGCTCACAGGTATTAACAGTTCATAAGTATTCTCTGATAGGCTCTGCTGTAGCTCAGTGGTTAGGGTGCTGGCTACATACACCGGGGCTGGTGGGTTTGAACTGGGCCAGGCCTGCTAAAACAACAATGACAAGTGCAACAAGAAAATAGCTGGGTGTTGTGGTGGGCACCTATAGTCCCAGCTACTGGGGAGGCTGAGGCAAGAGAATCGCTTAAGCCCAAGAGCTTGAGGTTGCTCTGAGCTGTGATGCTGCAGTACTTTACGGAGGGCAGCGACATAGTGAGACTGTCTCAAAAAAAAAAAAAAAAAGAAAGAAAGAAAGAAAGTATCCTATGATGGAGGCATTCTGAAGAACCCCATTTTACAGGTGAGAAAACTAAGGCTCTTATAAAGATGTGGCAACTGTGGGTGATCCCAAGTCTCTGATCCCAAATGTGTGGGGCCTTTGCTATGGGTCAGGGACTGTTACATGCTTTTACCTAGGTGCTGGTATTATTATACCCGTTTTTTAGATGTAGAAACTGAGCTCAGGGAAGACATCCGACCAAAGTCACAGAGCCAAAACTCAAATCTGGCTGTCACCCAAGGCCATCCTTCTTCTAGAATGCCCTGCGCCTGGGCCCAGATGGCGTCTTCCCCTCCCCCGGGTCGGGGTGGTGGGAGATGCATGCTTTATTTTTATTGGCCAGGCGTGCACAAGTCTTCATCTCTCCTGGACCAAGAAAGGCTGTCTTGCTGTCTAACTCCTTCGCGAACTTCCAGTGGACAGTCAGGCGCTTACTGCTGCCGGGACCACGGCCCAGCTTTGTCTCACCCCCACCTGAGGAGCCTGCACCAGGCCACGCCTCCGCACCGCCTCACCTCCGTCCATTGGGGCGGCAGCAGTGCCAGCTCCAGGCTCAGGCCGGCGACCACACGGTAACCTGCGCCCACAGCCGCCTCCATCTTACATTTGGGGACCATTATTTATTTCCCGTCCTTACAAACACTTCATGGAGGGCCATCCTCACCCTGACTCCGCTCCTCCCATCCCAACTGCCCTGCCCTCCGCATCCTCTTCCTAAACTGCCAGTATCAAGAACCCAAGTGGGCACAGGATGCAAAGTGGAAGGTCTGGATACCGCAGTTCCAGGTCTCAGTCCCTCAGTGCCAGGGGTGGGGAGATTCCTCTCATCTGGAAAAGCCGACGATCTCCAGCAGGGCCTTGGCCACCGCCTCCGCCGGACAGAACCCACCCCGGCCACACACACCTCGCTTGCAGCTCAGAAAGGAGCAATGGGAGCACAGGGGGGAAAGAGGGATAGGCGTGCCCGTGTGGCCCGTGTGTGTGTGTGTGTGTGTGTGTGTGTATGTGTTGGGAAGTATGCGCACGCGCGCGTGCGTTTTTAAGATCCGGGGTGTAATTCCGCAAAGAAGGTCCAGGAGATCGGGCATCGCTAGTGTGGACAGAGCTTTGTGTCTAAACAGGCAGCGCAGTGAATAACACTGGGTCCGGGAAGCTGGGCTCCTCCGGGAGGGGCAATTCGATGAGTTGTGTTCAGCATTGGGAGGGGAGCGGGATTCCTCACCCGGACGGGACGCCTGGATGTAGGAAGCTCCAGACTTTGGATCCTACGGGAGGGTCAGTGAGCACCAACCTGGGCTGGTGTGATGCGGGGGACACCTCCGGGATGTTCCAAGCTAGTCACCAAGCACCGGCCGCGGGGTAGCTTTCCCGAAACAGCACCCGCAGGAGTAAGGGGCGGCCCCCGGGGGGACACCACACCTCCCAAATCAACCTTGCTCCCCAGATCCTAAGGGTTCCTTGCCCGTCACCCACCAGGCCCGATCTGAGCGCTGACACCGCCGCGCCCGGCCCGGGGGCTTCCCGGGTGGAACAAGGAGCATCCGGCGCGCGGCGACGAGCGGGTTACGCCCCCCCCCCCACTTGGTGCCCACAGCCTCCCCACCACGCGGGAGCTCCGGGTCGGGGACGCGGCCGCGGCGTCCACACTCCCGTCTGCTCCGGCAGTCCCTCCCCCAGGCACTCACAAAATTGTCGCCGCAGCCGTTGTCCGGACACAGCACGTAGAAGGAGACACCGGGGTCGGCGTAGAAATCCATCCTGCGCTCAGTCTCCTCGGTGGCGATGAGCTCGAAGGGCGTGTTGGAGCACCATTTCTCCGCAACGTCCGCCAGCTGCTGGAAATCCATCGTGGCCCG